TCTTCAGCCTCAGGTCACACTGTGTAGGATAGGTGGGTAACGTAGACACAGTGGAAGTCAGGAACCCCACTAATCTCCATTTACAAATTTACTCATGTAATTACACTTCTTTTTAGACAAAACACCAAACTCCATTGAAAAATGTTGTAATTTAATTACACAAAGTTATTACACAGACCTACCTCCACAAGAGCAGAACCTTAGAGCCCCACTAAGGTCCTATTTGAAATAACTAATTACATTAGAAATCTTACTCCGTATTTTACTTACACAAAGTTCTTGTATGGATACATATATGTAGACAAAATTGACCATTTAACAATTTTGGTTTCTTTTGTGTAATCACACAAGGGTCTTGATACAGTTTTGTAATCAACAAATTAAAGACAAGTGACTTCTAACTTGACAACCTTGTTTTAGAACATGAGACAAGCTGATTTTTCTGCCTTTCACATCTCATGTCAAGTCTTCAGTGGGAGTCAGACAGGTGGAATAAAGGACACTGACAGATACTTACATTAATAAGTCTAGATGTCAAGCTCTGATGAACATGGACTGCTTCCTGTGGGGCAGAAGAGGAGGTGGTTGGTGGATGTGAGCACACAGCAGACACAGTATTTCCTCACAGTACTCTTTAATATATGCTTAATAAAACTGTGTGCAATCAGTGATGGGCCATAGCAGGTTTCTCCAAGGAAACAGGTGCTTTTCTAGTATATAAACATGTTTATTAAAGGTTTATCTATGGACTGTCATTGTAATAAACAGGAAGGAAAGCATGAGGCTCACAGCAGCGTCGAGCAGAGAACATACTGTGCAGAGTTTTGACTCAGCTTTGTTGCTTTATTCAGGCTTGAAGAGTGAAGACGAAGAGGAGCCAGCCCAGGGCACCGGCTTGGATCAGGAGTTTCTGTGGGAACCAAACGAACAGATACCACCCAGGTTTCAACGCTGATTCAAGATTCCTTTGTCATTTCCATGTTTTTGCATACATAAAAACAAAATCTGTTTCTCGCCATTGATCAATTACAGTTGGAAAAGAAAAATAGAAAAAAGAACAATATGGTAAGAACTCTAGTAAAACAGTGGACAGTTAAACATAAAACATAGATAGCAATAAATTATTCTCAGGTCCTCTAAAGTGTCTTGTGCTCGTTTGTAGGCCAAGCAGAAGGTGATCAGCTTCTGTGTGTGTGGGGGGTCATACTTGTGCATGAGGTGGACCGCTTGGGGAAAGAGGCTACTGATCATCCTGCCTGTTCGGGTCGTATCTCCTTCCTGACGGCAGTAGAGAAGGCACAGTGGGATGGGTTGTGACGGTCCTTAATGATGTTTAAGGCTCTCTTGATACAGTGTTGAGTGTAAATCTCCATCAGAGGTGGAAGATGGGAGCTAGTGATGTCTTGTCATTTTGCCATTGCCAGTCCAGGAGGTGATGCCATAATGCTTTCACTTGTCCATCCATCATCCAGATTCTAATGAGGGTTGCGGGGGCTGGAGCCAATCCCAGCTGA